AACCAAGGAGGCGGAGGTTGCGGTGAGCCGAGATCGTGCCATTGCACTCCAGCCTGGGCAACAAGAGCAAAACTCTGTCTAAAAAGCAAACAAGCTGGATGTGGTGGTGGGTGCCAGCTACTCAGGAGGCTGAGGTAGGAGAATTGCTGAGATCGTGCCATTGCGCTCCAACCTGGGCAACAGAGTGAGACTCCGTCTCAAGCAGAAAAAAAAAAAAAAAAGACAGAGGGAAAGATGGCAAGGAGAAAGCTGATAGGTAGTCACCTGGGGCAGTTGTGCCACAGTCTAATCAGGATAATGACCAACACCCACTGGGGATCCAAGGCCATGTGGACACGAGCGGGTGAAAGGTCAGGGGCTGCAGGAGAGACTTCACTGGGACATATTTTTGTGGAATCCGTGCTCTGTAATTCCAAAATCTATTTGCGAAGTCCAATGGGAGCGAGAGTTCGATTGGGAGAATATGGGAATGTGATACCTGATGGAATGGAAACGGGGAGGGTTGAGCAGGCTTTATGCAAAGCGACTGCAGCTCCTTTACCTGAATGTACTATGGGGGTGGATATCGGGTCTGGGGGAGGCGTTTCTCTTACCTAGCATGGTAAAGCAGAAGGCAGGTGAATCTCCCCACCCGCCAGTAGTGATTGGACATACTTGTTGGAAACTGGTAAGATTGCCCGAGCCTGTGCAAGCTGTTCATGTGTTGTAGGATAGCCTCCCTGAGGAGCAGACTGGAGCTGAGGGCAAAAGCCTGAGTGCCACCTAGTGGCAACCACTGGGATTTTGAACCAGGAAATTTCCGTTTCAGAAATTACTAACTTGCTATTGGATTTAATTAAAGTCCAATTGCTCCTATGACTTAAGGACACAATATAACTTGAAACCTGAAATACTCATAATTTCTTGGGTGATGTTGAAATACTCTGATGAGGAGGGCAGTCCCCGGAAGGGTCCATCATAATTTGGAAATGATTTTTCTAGAACGTGCTATCTGGGGTATGCAAGGAGGCCATCCCAAGTGGGGGCCTCTTCCCTGACAGGCAACTTCAGAGCCAGCTAAGGAGTTTCCTGGGCCACAGGGGCAGTGAGTGTCCTATGAACAGCTCTCTACTGACCAGCAAAGAGCCGCCTGGTTTATGGATGGAAGTTTCAAGGTGACGGGACAGGTTCCTATCTGGAAGACCATCAAAGAAGGTAAAAACAAATCAACTCTTTGAATTGACTGGTGTTTGTGCTACATCTCATGTCAGTGGCCAGCCTGCCCGCACAGGCAGCAGAAGGGCAGTGGAAAACTGACCTATTAGTGGGATGCCTGTATGGGGCGTGGACCTGTGGACATCTCTATGGGAGTCGGAGGGGTACATTAAAGTAGGACGTTTGATGCTCATCAGAAGAACCCCACTCCAGGATCAGGGGCTGACTAGACTCAGTCAGTGGATACTCCGGTGTGTTCACTTAAGGAGGCCTCATGATATGAGAGACATACGGGGGCCGCCAGAGTGTGGGGAGAGACTGAGTTCCCCTTGCACCCTCTGAGGCACAGACCACCAGTAACTGTTCTGTCTGTCAACAAGAGGCCTGGCAGGCTAGTCAGACTGAAGCCTGTAGCCCCAGGAAGTGTAAGTCGTGGCAGGAACAGACAGTCACTCTGCACACTGGGCTCAGCTTCCCTGCGGTAGCTGCAAAGGCTCACAGCACAGTAAAAGGACTGGAAGTCGGCCGGGCGCAGTGGCTCACGCCTGTAATCCCAGCACTTTAGGAGGCCGAGGTGGGCGGATCACCTGAGGTCAGGAGTTCGAGACCAGCCTGGCCAACATGGTGAAACCCTGTCTCTACTAAAAATACAAAAATTAGCTGGGCATGGTGGCAGGTGCCTGTAATCTTAGCTACTTGGGAGGCTGAGGCAAGAGATTTGCTTGAACCCGGGAGGTGGAGATTGCAGTGAGCCGAGATCATGCCATCCCACTCCAGCCTGGGGGACAAGAGCGAGACTTCGTCTCAAAAAAAAAAAAAAGGACTGGAACTGAAGATACCAATTTGGACTGCCAGGTCACATTTCTTCAGACCCCGACCAAGGAATATGTTTTACAGCACATAGCGTTCAACAGTGGCAGAGGCATGCTCCCCAGGGTGATGGTTTGATGAAGAAGTGGAATAGGCAAGTGAAACATTTGTTGACTAAAATAGGAAAAGCCGGGCAAGGTGGCTCACGCCTGTAATCCTAGCACTTTGGGAGGCCGAGGAGGACGGATTGTTTGAGCTCAAGAGTTTGAGACCAGCCTGGGCAACAATGGCAAAATCCCGTCTCTACAAAAAATACAAAAAATTAGCTGGGCGTGGTGCTGCACACCTGTAATCCCAGCTAATTGGGAGGCTGAGGCAGGAGGATCACCCGAGCCTAGGAGGTCAGGGCTGTAGTGAGCTGTGTTCATACCACTGCACTCCAGCCTGGGCAACAAAGTAAGACCCTTCATTTATTACCAAGTTGGGCAATACACATGAAATCGGAGTTAGAGGAGGAGGGTAGAGATAGAATAAGACAGGAAAAATATTTGAAGAGATAAGAACTGAAAACTTTTCCAGAAGCTCAAGACACCCCAAGTAAGGCAAACACCAAGAAAACCACACCCAGGCATGTCACAGCCAACAGTTGAAAACCAAAGGTGAAGAGAAAATATTAAAAGCACATAGAGGATAACAATACATTATATCCAGTGGAAAAATAAGAATTTCAGCTTAGAAAAAATGCAAATCAGGCTGGTGCAGTGGCTCACGCCTGTAATCCCAGCACTTTGGGAGACTGGGGAGGGGGGTCAGATCACCTGAGGTCAGGAGATCAAGACCAGCTTGGCCAACATGGTGAAACCCCGTCTCTACAAAAAATAAAAAATCAGACAGGCATGGTGGCATGCAGTTGTGGTCCCAACTTGGGAGGCTGAGGCAGGAGGATTGCTTGAGCCCAGCAGGTCAAGGCTGCAGTGAGCCCTCATCGTGTTACTGCACTCTGGCTGGGTGATAGTGTGAGACCCCCACCTCAAAAAAAACAAAAAAAAAAAGATCATACTACTGATCCTACAGAGGCCCTGTCTGCAGTGCTCCCCCCAGGATAGCAGGGGCTGCTAGGCACTTCTGAGACCTGTCTAGCCAGGGCTAGCCTCTTGGCTTAGCCCCTGTGACATCAAGCGAGGGACTGGCTGGCACCCGACTCTTGGTCATTATGCTGCACTGCCACAACAGCCTGGGGGGCGTTCCAGAGGTGGCCTCTGTGTGGGGGTCTGCTGACTGCTTCTTCCCCCGACACCCTGTGGGCATGGAGACACAGGCCCACCAGCCCTTCCCTACCCGTGGCCCATGGCTTGGCCAAGCCCCTGTTCGGCATTGGTTTGTTCTGTTGCTGAGATCGTAGTCTGCAGGAAGAGGCTGACCCTGAGGGACACAGGGCCCACTGCTGCTTGGGAGGATGCACTGAAGGAGAGAGGCCTGGGAACCTCCTGGAGCAAGTGACATTGAGCCGAGATGGCAGAGGCAGGGAGGTGGGCAAGGCCATGGCATGTCCCCTGCCACAGCAGGAGGAGGGGCACGGCCCAGCTGAAACTTTGTCCTGAAGGCCATGGGAGTGTGGGCCTTCAGCAGGGGCATGAGACTTGCAGTGGGGCGTGACTTGGTTAGCTCTGTGACTGGGGAGTCCTGCTCTCTGGGAGAAGGGAGGCTGCAGGCAGCCCAGGGAGGAAGCTGGGCAGGGGTCCAGGGTCAGAGCTAGGCCCCCAACTCCCCCGACGACTCTCCCCTGCAGAGGGGAAGGGGAAAGGGATCTGGGGAACACAGGGCCGTCTCCTCCTGCACCCTGTCCGTGGAGTGGAGGAGGGCAGTGAGTCCAGGGCTGGCTGCCCTCTTCAGGGGATCCTGATTGGGACAAGGCATGGGGGAGGGGTCCCCCTTCTCCCCTTCCACTCAGGGCACAGATGCGCAGTGGCTCACGCCTGTAATCCCAGCACTTTGGGAGGCTGAGGCAGGTGGATCAGCTGAGGTCAGGAGTTCGAGACCATCCTGGCCAACATGGTGAAACCCTGTCTCTACTAAAAATACAAACATTAGCTGGGTGTGGTGGTGGGCGCCTGTAATCTCAGCTACTTGGGAGACTGAGGCAGGAGAATCGCTTGAACCCGGGAGGCGGAGGTTGCAGTGAGCCGAGATTGAGCCACTGCGCTTCAGCCTGGGCGATAGAGCAAGGCTCAAAAAAAAAAAAAAAAAAAAAAAAAAAAGATTTTTCCAAAGGAACTGAGGCCTGGCTGACATGTGCCTGTGTTTACCAGGACTGTCTCTTTACAAAGCCTCTATTCCTCCCACCTTCTTTCCCCTCTCTATTTTGGGGTTACTCGGGTCACAGACTCAGCCCATGGCTGGCAGTAATGCTCCACCCTGCTACAGCTGCTTTCATCTTCTTGTCCCCAGATGTGGCCCCACCTGCTGGTGCCGCGGCTAGAAGTCATCACAGCCGCTCCTTCCGCCGGCTAGGAGAGTCAGGTTCAAGAAGGGTTCATGGACTCTGAGTAAGGCAAGCAGGGTCTGCCTGGGAGGCAAACGCCGGCGTCTGGTTGCACTGCCTTTGAGATGCGCGGCTCCTTCATGTCATGGGCACAGCAAAGGCATTGGCTCTGATCCTTTAACCCTGTCACAGGGTTCCTGAGGCTTAGAGACGGAGGTCACCTCCTGAGTCATACACAGCTGAGACATCAGTGACAGGAGAGGACCCCAACTCCGTGGACATCAGAGCTCCGGAAAAAGCCATTTCGCGTGCCTCCAGGGTATGGCCTGCCTGAGAAAGCTGTCACCCCACTGACGTTTTCGTAGCAACAACAGCTTCCTCACAGAAGAGGAGGGGGGCCGATAGATTATTCCCATTGGTCACAGTAGGAAGCTGGGGTCCACGGGGGCCTTCGGGGGCAGAGGGCAGGCAGGCGTGGGGACAGACCCCGGAGGGCAGGAGCCGGTGCCGCCGCCCCTCCGCCGGCGCCTGCGCGTTGCGGCCCAGCTCCCCGCTTAACCCCGCCCCACCGCTCGAGTTTTCAAATTTGAAACCTGCTTCTTTTCCCGCCCGAACGTGTGGACCAGCGGCGGGAGAGGGCGGGGCGGAGCGCCAGCCAATAGGGCATCAGAGGCTCCTCGACCCCGCCCCGAGGATGACGACAGCGAGCCTTGAGAAGCCATGGGCGAATGGGCGAGCTGCGGCCGGCGGGCCCCGCCCCCGCGGCGCCCACGTGTAGGGGCTGGGCCCGGGGCTTCCAGGGGACCACCTGGTCCCCAAAGCGCCGTGCAAAGTGCGGGGCTAGTCACTAGCACTGGGCTGGAAGCTGAGATCAAAGACGCCAATGAGCCGGCGTGGGTGGATGAGTGAGGCGGGCAAGAAGCAGCACCCATCAGCCTGAGGGTTCGCTCCAGGGCCAGGCTTGGAGCCGGCGCCCTTACCTGCCCCTGGAGAGTCTGAGACCACTCGGGGCGGGGCGGCTGCCGGAGGTTGGGCTGTGGCTCCGTGGCGGGTTCCAGAGGGGCGGAGCCAAGGGCTGGGCGTTCCCGCGGGCGGGGCTTCCCGGGGGCGGGGCGGGCCCCTGTGTTTGTTGCACCGTGTCAGTTACTTTGAAACAAAAGTGCTGCAGCCGCTGCTCCAGCCCGCACCCTAGGCCAGCCCGCTGACTGCTGTCGCCGACATGGAACCCGTGGCCAGCAACATCCAGGTCCTGCTGCAGGCGGCCGAGTTCCTGGAGCGCCGTGAGAGAGGTGAGGAAGAACCCTTGGCTGGATTCCGGGCGGCGACCTCGCTGACACGGGCCTGGACTGGACCTGGCTCCTAGCTGGAAGGATGCACTGCCCTAGGACAGTAATCCCGGGGCGCCTCGCCCTCAACTCGAGAGGAGTCCCTGGGCGGTTAGAGCAGGGAGGGGTGGGGGAAATGGTCCTGGCGCCAAAAGCCTTTCCTTGACCGTGCTGTGCCTGGGGCTCCCGCTGGGACCAGGTCCAGCCCCAGCCTGACGCGGGCGGGGGCTCTCTCTGGCAGAGGCCGAGCATGGTTATGCGTCCCTGTGCCCGCATCGCAGTCCGGGCCCCATCCACAGGAGGAAGAAGCGACCACCCCAGGCTCCTGGCGCGCAGGACAGCGGGCGGTGAGGAGGCCCAGGGCGGCGGGAGTCGGGGTGGGGGTGGGCGCCGCCCCCGGTCGGGCCCTCCTCTGCCCACTTGTTTGCATCTTTTGGGTCAGGTGTCCTGCTCCAGGAAGCGTTCAGACCCCTCCTGCCATCTCCCCACTCTCCAAACACACTCACACCTTTCTATTCATTCAAGGACTATTTCTTGAGCACCTCTAGATGTGCCAGGAACTGCGAACAGCAATTGGGGTCCCGCTTCCACTCGCACTCCCGCACTCCACACATCAGGCCACTCACCTCCTCCACTGGCTTCCTCCTTTTCTCTCCTCTCCCCCAGTCCTTTGCATATGCTGTTCCCTCCTATCTGAATGCCTCTCCCTCCACTACCGGCTTGGGAAACACCTATTTCTGCATTTAGCTGTCACCTCTGTCTGGGAAGCCCTTCCTGACCAGCTGGCAGGGCCTTGTTAGGACCTCCGTACCCACCTGGGCAGGCTTCTGTTAAGCATTGGCTGCATGTGTCTTTGACTCCCCTCGCCCTGCCAGGGGACTCGTGTCTGAGGCCAGCATGAGGTCTCCACAGGGGACTTGTTTGGGGTAGACATCTGTAGTGGCTCTTGAGCCACTGGGGGCCCTGGGATTGGGGCCTGGACAGTAGCTGATTGCCCTTCACCCCATCCTCTCTGGCGTTGGCAGGTCTGTGCACAATGAACTGGAGAAGCGCAGGTGAGTCCCACTCCTGCCCTGACAGCGCCAGCCCCTAGGGGCCACCGCCCACTGACCTTCCCTCCCCTGCCATTCCTGTGGCCAGCAAGGTGGGGCTGGCACTGCCCTCCAGACCTCTTCCCCACAGGAGGGCCCAGTTGAAGCGGTGCCTAGAGCGGCTGAAGCAGCAGATGCCCCTGGGGGCCGACTGCGCCCGATACACCACACTGAGCCTGCTGCGCCGCGCCAGGATGCACATCCAGGTGAGGCCCCTTGCTGCGCCCGGACTGGCTTGCCCTGGTGTATGGAGGGATGTGCTATGGAGGGGCTGGTGGGACTGGAGAACGAGGCCTGAAGTCAGAGCTCAAGAACTGTGTGACTTGGGACAGCTCTCTGAGTTTTTACTTTCCAGATCCATTAATGGGAAGAAAAGCAGACAATAACTCAGAGGGTTGTTGAGGCTTAAATGAGTTCACTCTATAAATGTTCACTGTTGCTGTTGCAGCTGTTATCACTTAGATCCCAGCTGTGAGACCTTGGGCAAGTCCCTTAGCCTGTCTGGACTAACCTTACCTCCTGTTTGAGGGGAGAGGATGGCTGTTGAATTCTGTGATGGGATGTATGTGGGGGTCCTCGGGACTGTAGAGGGTTGGTCCTTGCTCTCCCCCTCTCCCTTTCAAGGCCTCCTGTTATGGGCAGTCTATCCTGGTGCCACCTGGGAGGCAACTCCAGAGACAGGAGGGGAAAGGACTGCGAAGACGCCAGTCGCTGGTCCTCCCGGGGCCGCTCTGCTGCTGCTGCTGAGCTCAGCGCCCCCTGGTGGACAGGAGTGGATGTGCTGAATAAACGCCCAGGTGGCCCAGGCCATGGCAGAAGTGGCCTTGGAGACCACAGGACTTTTCCTGCCCTCCAGAGGAATACATGGAGGCACAGCTAGGCTGAGGGCCAGCAAGTCGCACAGCTGATGGGAGGCAGATTCAGGAACCATGCCCAGTTCCCTGGCTTGCATTATCTCCGACAAGTGTTTTTTGGGCACTGGTTCCGCTAGGCCCTATTCTAGGCACTGGGGGCTGTGGCACACATAGACCTATGTGCTGTCAGTAAATAAAGCCACAGCTGTGGTAACAACTGCACTGCCCCCCGGTGTCTGTTTTGACCATCTTTGTGGCTGAATAACACTCTGGTTGGGTAATGGCCCAGTTTCTCGCACGAGCTTGCCTGGCCTGGTTCTCGGATGGATGATGTGTGTCAGGGGCTCGCTGGCCTGTGGGCAGGACCTGGGGGTGCTCTTTCTCTGGGGCTCCATCACCCCCATCCTGGATTAATTCACCGGCCTCCTCCCAGCCTTCCTGTTTCCTGTTTTGCCTCCCCCAGGCTGTCTTCTACTTTGCTCTAGAATGATCTCTGTAGCACACAGGCCCATCTCCTGCTGAAAACTTGCCCGTCGCCCCTGACAGGACAAAGCCTCTGCTCCTTACTTCCTGTGAAACTCAAGGCCCTTCATAACCCAGGACTTGTCAGTAGGCTGCTCTTTTGGCCTCATCCCTCCCCATGCCCCACAGAAGCTGAACACTCCATGCTCTCCTCAGGCTCCCTCTGCTCTGCCTTGACGTTTCTTCCTCCCTGTGTTTGCCTCCACAGCTCTTACTCATATTTCTATGCCCAGTTCAAACGCCCCCATGGCCCAATTCTCCCCTTCTTGTTGAATGACTGAATGTAAGCTTCCGCCCACTGAGGGCTCTGCCTGGGAGAGCCCTTGGCCTTCCACTCCTTGGAACTTCAGGGCTGCCAGAGCTTGGCAGGAGGTAGGGGGATGGGAGGGAAGGTGTTAACGCCTTCACACTCTCGCTCTTGCAAGGATTGTGACCAGGAGTACAAACTGGTAGCCTTTGTTTGTTCAGTAGTTTTCTAAAAATTTAAATTAGTTGTCAACCCCTCAAAAGACATTTGACATGAAAAATCTGACTTTCCAGCTAGTTTCTTGTAAAGAAATGGGAGGCCGGGTGCAGTGGCTTACACCTGTAATCCCAACACTTTACAAGGCCGAGATAGGCGGATACCTGAGGTCAGGAGTTTGAGACCAGCCTGACCAACATGGTGAAACCCCGTCTCTACTAAAAATACAAAAATTAGCTGGGTGTGGTGGCGGGCCCCTGTAGTCCCAGCTACTTGTGAGGCTGAGACGGGAATTGCTTGAACCTAAGAGGCAAAGGTTGTGGTGAGCCGAGATTGTGCCATTGCACTCCAGCCCGGGCGACAGGGCAAGACTCTGTCTCAAAAAAAAAAAAACAAAACAAAAAAAAAAACGGGGAGACCTGGTAGTACCAGGCCTGTTTCCCATGACGGCACATGCCTGGCACCTGAGCCAGAGTGTACACGCAGCAATGTGCTCTGCCCCCAGTTCCCGCCACTGGACACCACAGCCCCCCAATCCTTTATCATTGACTACACTCCCCCCACCCCCAATCTAGGCAGCACCCTCACAGGACGTGTGCATGGCAGGAAAGGGGCTGGCTTTCTGGAGTGTGGGGAAAAGAAAGAGAGATCAGCCTGTTACTGTGTGTATATAGAAAGAAGTAGACATAAGAGACTCCATTTTGTTCTTTGTTCTGTATTTGAGATACTGTTCATCTGTGACCCTACCCCCAACCTTGTCCTTGCAAGAGACATGTGCTGCGGTGACTCAAGGTTGAAGGGATTTTGGGTTGTGCAGGATGTGTCTTTGTTAAACAAGTGCCTGAAGGCAGCTTGCTGGGTAAAAGTCATCACCATTCTCTTAATTTCAACTACTCAAGGACACGTACACGGCCAAAGGTCGCAGGGACCTCTGCCTAGGAAAGCTAGGTGTTGTCTAAGGTTTCTCCCCATGTGATAGACTGAAACAATGCTACTAAAAGGTTTATGGAGATGTTTGCATATGCATCTCAAGGCATAGCATTTTCCTTTAAACTTATTCATGTCTCAGAGGTTTTGTTCATATGTCTTACTGCCGATTTCCTCTTTTTCTTTGATCCTATTGTCCTGCCACTCCCCTGTCTTTAAGATGGTAAAGATAATTATCAATAAATACTAAGGGAACTGAGAGACCGGTGCCGGCGTGGGTCCTCTGTAAGCTGAGCGCCGGTCCCCTGGGCCCCCGCTTCTCTTTCTCTATACTTTGTCTGTGTGTCTTATTTCTTCTCTCAAGTCTCTCGTTCCACCTTACGAGAAACACCCACAGGTGTGGAGGGGCAGGCCACCCCTTCATGGAGGATATGGGTACAGCCCTCTGGGGCCTCACCTGCCTGGAGTGGGCGTTGGCCCTGTGGCCGTGGCCTGGTACTTACTGGTGTTGGGCTGCAGCCCGAGCCCCACGCCACTAACCCCAGCCCCTTGCTCCTTTGGGATCTGCAGAAGCTGGAGGATCAGGAGCAGCGGGCCCGGCAGCTCAAGGAGAGGCTGCGCAGCAAGCAGCAGAACCTGCAGCAGCAGCTGGAGCAGCTCCGGGGGCTGGCAGGGGCGGCTGAGCGGGAGCGGCTGCGGACGGACAGCCTGGACTCCTCAGGCCTCTCCTCTGAGCGCTCTGACTCAGACCAAGGTGAGTGCCCCGAGGCTGAGGGGTTGTGTGGCCCTCGGGGCAAGCCAGGTCTTCTGATTGGACCCCTCCCCGCGCAGAGGAGCTGGAGGTGGATGTGGAGAGCCTGGTGTTTGGGGGTGAGGCCGAGCTGCTGCGGGGCTTCGTCGCCGGCCAGGAGCACAGCTACTCGCACGGTGGCGGCGCCTGGCTATGATGTTCCTCACCCAGGGGTGGCCTCTCTGCCCTCTGCTTGCGCCAGGCCCACCTGCCAGGCAGGAGCTCTTCCCAAGCCTTTAGGGCTGCTTGGAGTCACCTGTTGGAATGGACTAAAAGGACCCTTGTGTGGGAACAGGTGCTCCCCAAACACCCTGCTGCTGGCTGCCAGGCAGGCCCTCTGGAAGGGGAAGGGGCAGGACTCATCAGGACCTCCCTGGACCCCTGCAGGGCAGGCAGCTTGGGCCTGAGCCCAAGCACTTGGCTCTGCTGCCCTCAAGGGGACAGGAAGCTTCTTGGGCCTCTTCCCTTCCTGGACAAGGCCCCCTGGCCTTTGCCTCACATAAACTGTACAGTATTTTCATTAAAAGCCTCTTTCATAACTTCCTGTCCATAGTCTTGCCTGATGAAAATGGGGGAACTCCCAACCACAGACCCACTGGAAGAGGAAATAAGATCAGTTCCCATCGCTGACACTGCTGGCCGTGCCAGGCAGTGCACTTAATCCTCACAACTCGGAGGCAGGCTGTTCTGTCTCCACTTCACGGATGGTGGAAATGAGGCTGAGTGACGTGACTTACCTGAGGTCCAAAAACAGTGGAATCAAGATTCAAACCAAAGCCTTCCGACTCCAGAGCTGGGGCTGACTGAATTCAATAAGTATTTATTGAGTGTCTATTATGTGCTAGATATTGAGACACTTCAGAGAACAAAACCAAAAGCCCTGGCCTCGTGGGGCTTACAGTCTAGCACTTACCGCCAGTTAACCTGCAGGCTACCTGGAGCCCCGGGCAAGTCACCGCACCTCTGTGCCTCGGTCCTCAGCTGCCCCATGGGAGAATAAGCAGACCTGGCACAGATGTGAATCATGTGCCTTGCTGTCCTGCAGATGCCAAACTGCCTCCCCACAACCCACCACCCAGACAGCAGATAGGGCTGGAAGCTGATTTTGAATGATAAAGTACAATGGAGGGAGGGCAGAGGGGCTAAGCCTAGCTGTCTGGGGTACTGCGGTGCTGGTGGGCTGGCTACACAAACTGCTGCTGCTGCTGCTGCTTCTTGGTGGCTGCCTTGCTGGCAAGGTCCTTGGCCTTCTCTGTAGCTGCCAGTGCCGTCTCCTTTGCCTTCTCCTTGGCTTCCTTGGCTGTCTCAACAAGTGTTTTGGAAGGCGCCTCGCCTGTCGTGAAGGGCAGGCGGCTGGCTTCAGAGGATGTCTGAAAGACCAACCTCATTTCCCTCCCCCATGCCACTGACCTCCCCTGGGCCAGGCTCCACTAAAAAGGTGGTATTCACCCTCCTCCCACCCCCAGTACAGACAAGAAGTCCCAGCTCAGAGCAGGGCAGTGACTGACCCAGACTCCACACCTGCTAGGCTGAATGAGCCTCGCCCTACGAGGAACCTCCACATACCCAGAAACTCACCTTGTAGCTTCGCCAAGATATATTCAAAACCCTTCATAGTCTTGGTCACATTACTTTTGAATCGGGCAAGACCAAATTCCTGCCATAAGATGAGAAGGGGAAGGATACTGAGTTGCCCACTGACCCCAGCCCAGCCCCAATACCGAAAGCACTGGGTCCCAGAGCCCCAACTTCCCCAACAACACTGCTCACCTGGACAGCTCTGGAGACACCAAATAAACTAGAGGAGACCCAGGCTTCCCGGCGGATTTCGGTCCAGCCACTGTTGTCAGAGTTCACACAGTAAACACATCGTTCCTCCACCACCTATGCAGAGAGGCCAACCACAACCGTGGAAGAGTCTTTCATTTTGCCAACTTGCACATAAATTTGACTCCCTGTCTCTCTTTTTTTTTTGAGACGGAGTTTCGCTCTGCCGCCCAGGCTGGAGTGCAGTGGCCGGATCTCAGCTCACTGCAAGCTCCGCCTCCCGGGTTCACGCCATTCTCCTGCCCCAGCCTCCTGAGTAGCTGGGACTACAGGCGCCCGGCTAGTTTTTTGTATTTTTTAGTAGAGACGGGGTTTCACTGTGTCAGCCAGGATGGTCTCGATCTCCTGACCTCGTGATCCACCCGTCTCCGCCTCCCAAAGTGCTGGGATTACAGGCTTGAGCCACCGCGCCCGGCCAACTCCCTGTCTCTTTTCATGAGACGAAGCAATACAATGAAAATCCATTCCTTCCCCTGATTGCACCACCAAGTGGCACTGACAGAGCACAAAGCCATAAATAAGGTCATTTTGCTCTCGAAAACTTCTCTTCTGACCCTTAAAACTGAAGGCAAAAGGTCTCTTAAGATCAACGAAGGGCCTTCCAGCCCATCCTGCTCCTGGATTTTGTTTTATGCATCTATACACATGCAGTGTTTTAGTCGCCTTCCACCGACTGCAGCTCTGGAGCTTCCTGACAGTCCAAATAAAAACACTGGCCAGGCACTGTGGCTCCCGCCCGTAATCTTAGCACCCTGGGAGGCTGCGGCAGGCGGATCACTTGAGGTCAGGAGTTCCAGACCAGCCTGGCCAACATGGTGAAACCTTGTCTGTACTAAAAATACAAAAATTAGCCAGGCGTGGTGGTGTGCGCCTGTAAACCCAGCTCCTCAAGAGGCTAAGGCACGAGAATTGCTTGAACCTGGGAGGTGGCGGTGGCACTGAGGTGAGATCATGCCATTGCACTCCAACCTGGGCGACAGAGTGAGACTCTGTCACCAGAAAAAAAACCAAAAAAAAGAAAAAAAAAAAAAAGAAACAAAGAAAAGCACTCCCTCCCCCACTCAGCATCACTCCTGTGAGTCCAACACATATCTGTGCCGTATACCCGATGGGAACGACAACGAAGTAAGATAGGTACCCCTCCCCTACTGTATGAATGAGTCAAAGGACAGGTCCAGAGAGGATGACCAGCTGAAAAGAAGAAAATCTGAGGTCATACTCTACAGCTGTCAACCCTCAGTAACCCAGACCTGCCTCAGACCACAAAAGCTCCCTTATGGCTCTCTAGCCACATGTATCTGAGGAGCTATCTGGCTGGGAGGGGAGAAGGGGAGGTGCAGAATCACAGCAGGAGGCGTCTCACCATCAGCCGGGCGTGGTTGATGTTCCAGGTGAAGGTGGTCATGGTCTGATTCTGTGGGTCCACAATAGAGTCCTCCAGGATGTACACCGAGTGAGCAACATTGGCAGGAAACAGTCGCTCGGCCCAGCGGGGCATCCTGTTGGTCTTGGTCAGGAGTCGCCGGGACAGCAATTTCTGGTCAGGGGTCACCTCCCGGTGTACTATGTCTTCCGTCAAGACATGTTTGCTGTGTCAGGGTGAAGGTGACCCTCAGGAGCCTGCCCCTAAGAGATTGCCCGAGGGGATTCCCATTTGGAGTCTCCGGGCCTAGAGAGGCCACGCCTTCCTGTAACCTTGCAGGGTGGTAACTGCTATGGTTCAGACCAGAGTCAAGGGCCCATCCCAGGGCAAATTCCAATTCCCGCCATCTGACTGACCTGGATTCCTGCCTTCTAGCAGCAATGGACCTCATGATTTATTGCACCCCAGGAAAGCGCCATGGGCAGAGGAACAGGATTTCCAATCCCAAGATCCCTCCCAACTCCCATACTGCCGCCTCTTCTTGTCTCACCACACTGACAAAAGAATCTTACACTAAAGCCTCAAGCAAACCACCGCCCAGGCCCAACCTCCCTTCAGGACCTTGCAGGCCTGGCCTGGCCGCTGCCCCAATAAGGTCTACGTAGGATTCGATGTCGAGTCCTTCCTGGTCCCATTACTTGGGGATTACCCATACTTCGATCTCCAAATAGCGAGATGGCGAAGTTTTGCTCTTCCAAATACCACGTACCTATAGGGATTCGGGTACCGCTGCCAGAAGGCGGCGAATACTTGGTCCCAGGAACTCCGGAGCACGCTCTGGCCCAGGAAATACTTCACCATCGTCCCGGCCGGAGCGGGCTCAGCACCCGCGCAGCATCAGGGGTGCGGAGCCTGGGAGGCACGCGGGGGCCGGGCCGGGCCGGGGCTCGGCGCACACCCGCCGCCAGGCTCGTAGCTCAATCACCACCGCACCGCGCCCAAGCAGCTGCTGCCGCCGCCGCCATAAGTTGTCCGGCCGCGCGCTACTTCCGGCGCAGTCACACTGTAGCAACCGCTTCCGGCGCCCGCGCCACGTGACCTTGCGGCCCCGCCCCCTCGCCCTCTCACCCCCCTCCCGCGGGAGTCGCGGCGCTGCGGGTAGGAGCCGGGTTGCAGGAGACCCCGGGTTCGGTTGGGATTCCCAGCCAGAACGGAGCTTAAGCCGGGCAGGCGAGCGAATGACGGAGTAGCGAGCTGCACGGCGGCGTGCTGCGCTGTTGAGGACGCTGTCCCGCGCGCTCCCAGGCCGCCCCGGGGTTTGGGGTCTTCGAAAGATAATCGGCGCCCGGAGCCGAACAGCGGGGGCACACTGGGCGCTGCCGAAGTGCAAGGCCACGGCCAGAGCTCGAGCTCGACGCGCTGTCTCGAGTCGTAGGTTGGCGCCGTTTGGGGTCGGGGTCTGAGGCTTGGGCGCTGCCTGGGCCGAGCGGAGATCGGGGTTTGCCTCCCGTCCCCGCTCAGGACCCTGACGTGGCTGAAGCGGCCCCGGGAGCATGAGCGGGCAGCGCGTGGACGTCAAGGTGGTGATGCTGGGCAAGGAGTACGTGGGCAAGACAAGCCTGGTGGAGCGCTACGTGCACGACCGCTTTCTGGTGGGGCCCTATCAGAATGTGAGTGCACCCGGAGGGGCCAGGCGCGGTGGGCGGAGGGGTGGGGGGGCGGTAATCTGCACCTATGGCTCGGATCTCTTCCCTCTCGTTGCAGACCATCGGGGCCGCCTTCGTGGCCAAGGTGATGTCGGTCGGAGACCGGACTGTGACATTAGGTATTTGGGTAAGTCCCCTGGGCATCTATTCTTGGGAGACTCATTCCTGAGGAGGTGTAGGTCCTTCCTATTACTGGTTGATTTGTGGCCTCATAGACCCGTTTCCTTATCTGAAATAGCGGGTTCTGGAGAACATGGCCTTAAGTTTGACTCAAGCCTTACTCTTTAGGACACAGCAGGCTCTGAGCGCTATGAGGCCATGAGTAGAATCTACTATCGGGGTGCCAAGGCTGCCATCGTTTGCTATGGTAAGGGCGGAGGGGGGGTCTGGCCTGTCCCACAAGAAGAGATGGGTGCCAGGCTAGCCAGAGAACAGCCCTTGACCAGTTGGTTGTGTCTCCTGCATGCCGCACACCAAGACCTCACAGACAGCAGCAGCTTTGAGCGAGCCAAGTTCTGGGTGAAGGAACTGCGCAGCCTAGAGGAGGTAGGCGAACAGACCTCACTAGAAGACTAGGGGCTGGGGTTCTGTTGGTCTGTGGGGGTGACCCTTGTCTTCTGTCTCAGGGCTGCCAAATCTACCT